GTAATATCACCTCTGTACTCAGTCAGTTCCCCAGTCAACAGGTAAAAATCAGTGACAGCTTCAGTCATACTCCAGTAATATCACCTCTGTACTCAGTCAGTTCCCCAGTCAACAGGTAAAAATCAGTAACAGCTTCAGTCATACTCCAGTAATATCACCTCTGTACTCAGTCAGTTCCCCAGTCAACAGGTAAAAATCAGTAACAGCTTCAGTCATACTCCAGTAATATCACCTCTGTACTCAGTCAGTTTCCCAGTCAACAGGTAAAAATCAGTGTCAGCTTCAGTCATACTCCAGTAATATCACCTCTGTACTCAGTCAGTTCCCCAGTCAACAGGTAAAAATCAGTGACAGCTTCAGTCATACTCCAGTAATATCACCTCTGTACTCAGTCAGTTTCCCAGTCAACAGGTAAAAATCAGTGACAGCTTCAGTCATACTCCAGTAATATCACCTCTGTACTCAGTCAGTTCCCCAGTCAACAGGTAAAAATCAGTGACAGCTTCAGTCATACTCCAGTAACATCACCTCTGTACTCAGTCAGTTCCCCAGTCAACAGGTAAAAATCAGTGACAGCTTCAGTCATACTCCAGTAATATCACCTCTGTACTCAGTCAGTTCCCCAGTCAACAGGTAAAAATCAGTAACAGCTTCAGTCATACTCCAGTAACATCACCTCTGTACTCAGTCAGTTCCCAGTCAACAGGTAAAAATCAGTGACAGCTTCAGTCATACTCCAGTAATATCACCTCTGTACTCAGTCAGTTCCCCAGTCAACAGGTAAAAATCAGTAACAGCTTCAGTCATACTCCAGTAACATCACCTCTGTACTCAGTCAGTTTCCCAGTCAACAGGTAAAAATCAGTGATAGACATTTTTGTTTGAATTTAAGAATTTTAAAAAGAGAGACTATGCTTACCAATTCTTCTCTCTGTGTATAGAAAGTCAACCAAAAAAAAATTGTGTAAAATAAAATATTTACAGCAAACAAACCTCATGACTGTGTTACCTGTGGAAATTTGCCAAAAATTTTAAACTTCTAAAATGTCCACAGGATTAATTGAAAAACAGAGAAAGCACAGTGATTTAATGCTCATGTGTGTATGCACATGTATCTGAATTATAATTATCTTTCTTTGTTGAAATACTACCTTGGTATTCAAAATGTTTTAGTAGGGTTGAATATGTTTTACATTCTGATCAAAAAGAAAGATATTACTTTAACTATATTTTGCTATTAAATTAACTTAAAGTTTATTTTGTGCTTTCCTTTTAGATTGCAAATGTGATAGACAGCCATGCTGCCACACTTACAAGAAGAACAGAGAGAGAAAACTTCTTCATGACAACACAGGGCATAGTTCAACTAGTTCAGAGGTTAGAGGTCATAGTATTACTGACCTTTGGTAATCTCAAGTGTCCCAAATTTCTTCTAAAGCATATCAGAGAGTATATTTTCTTCGACAAGCATGCATGTCAATCCAACCATATCAGATTCATAATTGAACCAAAAATTGAATGCCTCATCCTTTTGCATGTGACAGTTCTATCATTATAAAGCTTAATGGAATGAATTTTGTGTATAATTGTTCTTGGTGTAACGCATGTGACATTTTCTTTTGACAGTGGATCTAAGGGGTAATGCTAGTGGGTTGTGAGTAGTATGAATCACAAGGTTTTAAGATTTCTGGTCACCCTTTAAACTTTTTTTCCACACTTGAACAAATAAACTTGAAGTCCAGTACATGCACATTTCTGAATTTTCTTTTCAATTTGTTAAAAAAATAGTCAGATAAGTTATGCATGTCTCTAAACTTGAAAAAAAGCATTATTTGAAAATACAGAAGATACATCATCCCACTTGACACTTTATTTATATTATAGAAAGAAATTGCTATTATCAGTTTCTAGGTGTTTAGTAAACATCTTAATTGATTAATGGGAGGGGGCCCTTACTGAGACAAATTATCTTGAAAACTTGTATGGAACTGTTTTGCACTCTTCATAGACCTTCTGGCATTAACCCCTTCTTCTATTCCTTTTGTTACCACAGCTTTAATGTTCTGTATTTGTCTGTGTGTGTAATTCCAGGAACTACATTCTATATTTTGTGGTTTTTGTATGTGTTTGTGTCTGTCGATTGCTTTTCTCACCCCCTCCCCCTCTCATTCTCCTTTCAATGTGCTTCCTTGACGATCATATCTCATTATTAATTACAGTCCTAAACAGTTATGGACTGAAAATATGTTCTTAGTACATTGTATTATTGTAAACATTTTTAGAGCGGAATCTCAATTTCTGTTTAATCCGCGAATAAGTGTCACTATAAAATTTATAATTTATGTACGCTTGGACAAATTTCCGCGGATTATTTGTGACAGCGTACATAGTGTTAATTAATACAACGCGGAAAAAAGTACCTCTACAGTATTAAAGAGTTCTATTCTAATATCAAAATGATGCTATATGTGCTTTGAAAATTCACCAGTGTTTTAAAATAACACATGAGTCATCTCTGGATTATAGTAACACAATTAGTTGTCTCTGAATTCTAGGTACCGGAATGGAATCCGAGGTCACATGAAGAGTGTTGTACAGGACTTACTAAAACAGTATGTCAGAGTAGAGGTCCAATTTCAGCATGGTAAGAATATAGTCACCCATCCTCCCTCCCACTTCCAGTAAAGGAAAATAGCTCAAAGTATTTACAGTAGAACATGCATTTAGTGAATATGCTGTTAATTAATTTATTGTTAGAGCAAAGTGAATTTCATTCTTATGACTTTTAAATCATAATGTTACCGTATATACTCGCCTATAAGTCGGATTTTTGGGAGTTAATTTCTGGTCTAAAACTCTATGTTCGACTTATAGGTGAGCTATGAAATGAATGGTATTATATGAGGTCAGTTCTATGATTTATAAGCTTTTATTATACCTCTATTGATAATACTCGAATTTGATTGGCTGGTAAGAAAACTTTAAAACACAACAATGACTCCAAATTGTACCGTTTACAGTAACACTGACCTAGGAATCATTGCACGTGGGATACGTATAATGACCCGGTCATTATTTTGAATCCGGGTCATTTCTCCCCAGTACCTGCTCCGCCTAGGTCATTTCCGCCTAGGTCATTTCTCGCCTGGGTCATTTCCCTCCATTACCCAGGTCATTTCTCTCCACAACCCAGGTCATTTCACTCCAACATGAAAATTGTATGACCTATATAATAAATGTAATTATAACAAGTTCTATTGATATCATAATTATTGAACTCAACATTGAACATGCGTCCTTTATGATTAATTTATTTTATTTATTTATTTATTTTATTTATTTATTAACTTAATAATATATTTATTAATTAATTAATTATTTATTTATTTCAGTCATTCAACAAAAATATTCCTCTTTTATGTTGTTTACAAATTTACCATTATTAACTAGGTCCTAACTAAATACATTTAATGGATCAATTTCAACATGGTGTTGTAAATATTTGCCGATATATATTCTCAGTCTTAAAAGAGTTCCAAACAGATTGCAATGAATGGTAAAAAAAAGTTATTTATCCTTTATAAAATAAAATCAAACCACTTCTCGCAAAGAAAAGTATGCATGGGTATTGATTTTCTTCCGTAAATTAAAGTAATGCATTTATGAATTTATCGATTTATTCATTTATTTGTTTGTAAGTTATTTTTTTTTTATTTGTTTAAAGTATTCTTAAATTCATTCCTAAATTCATATTTTTGATTAATTAATTATTTTTCTAAGTAACGTATTCATTTCTTTCTTTCTTTCTTTCTTTCTTTCTTTTTTTCTTCCTAATGGAATATAAATTAACTAAGATTGAAATGCGATGCGATTTTTATTTATTTATTATTATTTTTTTTTGTTTTAAGATTTAAATTAAATTGAAGCCTTTAAGTTTATTTAGTGTACTGTCATCATTCGTTTATGACCTTTATCAGGATTAAATATGTAATTGTTAGATTTCGTAATTGCCGTCTGACCGTTTTATGGTACCTTACACGGTGTTTATACATATATATGCTGGGTACATATGTTTATCCGTAAATTGTCAATTTCACAGATTGACACCACAATCATATTAATCGTTTGGACTTAGTGACAGAAAATGTCAACTTTGTGTATTGTACACAGATGTGTTCAGCCAGATTATATAAATAAAAATTTTGTCATTTTTTATTCACTAAAAATCACATTCACTGCAATACCTTCTAGCGATCACAAATTTTCGTCAAGATGACTAATCCAAAATGTTTGGACTGTCACAGACAAGTAAGTTGAAAAATTTCTTCTTTTTTGTACGAGCACGTTTTTTTTTTTTTTGAGTAAGTACGTAGTTTCTTGTACCGTAGAACAGAATCAATAGAAGAATCGAATTAAAATAAACTGGCCAATAAATGCATATAAACAATGGTGCTGATATTAATTTAAAAATTCCTGATTGTTACAAACATTTGCTACATTATTTCTCTTGCATACATGTATAAGAAATAATAGACTTCTCCTGAACGAATCCTTATTAAAGCTACATGTATATGGCGTATCGGAGCTAAAAAAAAAAAAATAAAAGTACGAGATTAAGTATAGATTAAGACGTTCTACATGTACGTTCAAATAAAATTATCATCGATTTTATATATGCCCAAGTTTCTGTAGGTTAAATTGACTTTAAACTGTGTCTGATATTTTTATTCGAGTCGGAAATAAATCGCTTATTGTTTTAAATTTCTGATATCAATGAAACGTGATTTGTTTTACTTAAATTGTGTAATTTACCTGAAAATCCTATCTTAATATATAAAATAACAGAACAAATAGATAGATCTCTTTAATTTTAGTTAGTCTGAACTTGTATGAAAAATCAGCTCTGGTTTAACTGCGAATTTGATGTCGGGGTAAAAACTAAAAAAGTATATTTTATATAAATGTATAAGATAAGGTGTAATTCTTTTTAGTTGAATCCCTGATTAATGTAAACTATTATGGAATGTATACAAAACTGGAGAGAAGAAATAAATTTAAACACGACGGTTGTAATTTTTCTTGGGGTATGTTCAAAATATAATAATTTAGAAATATGCTTAAATAATTTGATAAAAAAAATACGGAAGTTCAATTTTGTAAATTATTGAGGTAAACATGCACAACAGATAACAAATAAAAGAAAGGGGGGCTTAATATACATACCACACAAGGATCATTTTACGGTGAAATAATTTTTTAAAATCTTGCAGCCAATTAAATTATTAATCGCTAATTACAGGTTCGACCTAGACAGCATGCTCTTTGTTGTGAAATTTGCGAGAGATGGCAGCATCGTTTGTGCAGCACAAGTAAGATTTTAAACAAATCTAGTTGACATTCAGTATAAATAAATGAAAAAAAAGGCAATTTTGGGCTACTTTTTTACTTTAACAAATTTTGTAGACGTATCCCTGCAAGAGTATTGGGCTATTCTGGGTGGAGAGGAGGGATTAGCTTGGCAGTGTAACGACTGCAAGAATGAAAATAGGAGTCTCAGAGTGGATCTAGAAGAGCTTCAGGAATCCAATCCGTACGATGTTTCCACGGATGAGGACGAGCCCGTATATAATTTTATACAATGTCATATGGCCTATTTAACTTTTCATGATCAAAGTTTTGATGAAGTGATATTAACAACGAGTCTTGACTAGTTTCTATTAAAGTTTTAATTACATTTCTCACAGTTTTCTTTCCTTATGTTAAAAAAATCTGCAGATGGAAGAATCTTCTCAGGCGGGACAAATCAGAGACGATACATTTGATGACAGTTTTAGAAGTGTGCCAGTACTGGAGAGCACGAGAGAAGCGGAAGGAAGCAGAAATGACGAGCTAATGGTTTCTTTCAACATTAGTCGTCGTGCTGTTGTTGAATCTCCTCAAGTTCTTGAAGAGTACGACCCTTTTTTAATTCTATATACATATACTTTTAAAAAAGTAATGGTTAAGAGTACTTTTCATTTTTTGCTCACAATACTTGTAACAGGTCTATAGAAGATGGCAATCCCGTGGATGACACCGTACTGGAGGATGTCCCAGTGACTTTTAAAGTCTTGGAGAAGGGAAGTAGTCGTGGCGGACGTCTCTTAGTATCCAGCGACGGCTATTCGTATTGTGTCAAAGTAAGTAGCAAAAGGTGTATTTTAATTTATCTCAAAACTTAAAGAAATGGAAGAAATCGTCTTAATTTTAAAAAAATGAGTCTTTACAAAAATATCAATTTTTTTTTCTAACGATTTTCCCGTACCCAATATCATGTTAAATCTTGTTAAATTTAGCGCGAGGGTCAAAAGACAACTACTTGGACTTGCAGCATGAGGTCAAAGAAGCTCAAATGCTACGCCAGTGTGTCACAGCAAGGTGAATTATTTGTAAAGGGAAGCAGCAAACATCTTCATCCTGGTAATTTGAAGCTTCCACATCTCAAGGAAATTTCAGCCAAGGTAAATGAAATTGCTAGAAAAAAATTGTAAAATATGAACGTTATTCAAAATTCAAGTTATGCTAAGTGCCACTTTTTAAACTTATAAATTAAGGTGAAACAGTCCGCGAGAGAAAATGTGTTCCAGTCAGCAATGTCAATTGCGGAGGGGACAGTAACGGATCATTTCAATGAGGAAACTAGGTTCCTTGCACCAAATCTCCATCTGATTAAGAGAGTGGCAAATCGATTCAGAAGCAAGTTCCGTCCCGAGGAACCAGTGAATCTTAATTTCCAGGTATATTAATTAGTGACATTTTCCCCTTTTTTCTCGGAGAATTAACCCCTATCCACATGTCACACATACCATACTGAAATTGTGCACGTCCAGGTTTCCGCACAGGACCTGTCTCGTGATGCCAGAATAACCAGCACAAGGGTGGAGAAGAAAATTCGGCAAGCTTGGTCGGACTATGACGATGAGATGATCACTACAAGCCATTTCTTGCGAATTTGTGGAGGTGTTTATGGCCACACGGAGTAAGTTTTCGATAGTCTGATTTTTTTCGGTGTTAAATTCGCGTTAATTCTTGGGATATTGATGTTTGTACATGCCGTATTCTTTTGTATATATGTAAATATTACATTTCAGGTTTTTTTTTTATTGATAGCATTTTCCCCTTAGATTTTTGTTTTCTTCGCGTTCTTAACAGTTTTGGCTTTAAATAAAATTTGTACAAAAAACGTAAAACTTCGTAAATATTTACATACATGGTTTATAGATATACAGGTACACTTTTTCTACAAAAAGATATTTTACTTTATGTTCATTTTCTCCCTTTTTGTCGTAAGATCTAGTGACAGAATGTAATTTGAATCAGTTTTATTTTTTATTCTTCATAGTTGTCACGCTGAACATTATGAAATCAATCGGTAAAAGTAAATTTTTATTAAAAAAAATTAATTTTCTTTAATTTCGACTTTTTTTATTTTCTATTATAATATTCTTTACGTAGACAAAATTTCATTGCTAACTAAGGCATAAATTAATTAAATTTGGCTTTAAATTTTTCTTTCAAAATTATGGCCCTTAATGAGGAGGCCTCCACGTGGCAAGGGCTGGGCAACGGTATCAATTTATTTATTTATTTTTTTTTACAACATAATAAAATTATTTTTCCTGTAAATAAGATACCGGCAGACTTCCTCTCGTAAACTTTTTATAAGTCATAAATTAATAAAATTAAATTGATTGACCAGATACCAGTAAATAACACAAAATAGAGGTGGATATAATTATATTAGATTATATAAAAAAAATTCATTTTATTAAATTTATTAAATTTGGCTTTAAATTTTTCTTTCAAAATTATGGTCCTTAATGAGGAGGCCTCCACGTGGCAAGGGCTGGGCAACGGTATCTATCTATTTTTTTTTTTTAAATAATAAAATTATTTTTCCTGTAAATAAGATACCGGCAGACTTCCTCTTGTATAGTTTTTATAAGTCATAAATTAATAAAATTGATTTAATTGACCAGATACGAGTTAATAACACAAAAAATGGAGTTGTAAATAATAATATAAGACTAGATAAAAAATGGGGTGAAATGACCTAGGTAGGAGAGAGAAATGACCTACCGTGAAATGACCTACCGTGAAATGGTGGGAGAGAGAAATAACCTGGGAGAGAAAAATTTTTAGAGAGAAATGACCTGACACCATTATTTTTAATGACCGCAAAAAATGACCGCTAAATCAAAAATTCGTTTTTGAGTAAAGTTAATGCATAAAATAATAATTATTCGAAAAAAAATGTATTTAAAATTAGACATGGTCTGTTTTGCATTATGATTACCATACAGATTACGGTAAAATTTTATCGTTACAATATTATAAATCGATATATCGTTTCAACATGACAGTTCAATAGAATGTAGAGGCGGCTCTTTAAAGAGTTGAATTCTGTGTTAGATTTTGACTGTAGAGGAAAGGTAATCGTTAGCTATAACAGTGTATCAACTAAATATTGTTTTAATCAGTAAATCATGATGCAAAAACTTACACAACTTGCAGACGTCAATGTAAACAACTTCGTTACCCTGACTGTGTAGCGAATCCCGATCCCGATCAAAGAAAGAATTGATAACGGTTAGAAATTCATACTTTTCAATATATATCGGTATAATAAAACAATTAATTACCCCTTGTGAGTTCAACATGGTGAAATAAGGACCCTCGACCTGGCCCACTCGATGACCTGCCCTGACCTCGGCCGCTGCGCGGCCTCGGTCAGGACAGGTCACCTCGTGGGCCAGGTCTCGGGTCCTTATTTCACCATGTTGACCTCACAAGGGGTAATTAATTGTATAATAAAATACAACTGACTTATAGGCGGACCGACTTATAGGCGAGTATATACGGTATTAACAATTTATAATTAAAGGTACATGTGTTTTGAATACTGGATTTCCTTTTACCTTGGTACATGTATTTTAATTAATGATTATTTTGACAGGTCACTATGACAAATGTATAGCTCAGCTGATATCTAAGACCAAGGACATGTCTGCCGTGGCTGGTAGCATCTTCTCTCATCTGGCTGTACAGAAGAAAAACATCCTTATCACCATGCTCATCGTAAGAGTCGTCAAATTTAAAATCTTTTTTCTTATTTAAAAAACTAGCTAACATAACAACACAAAAATTTTCTTGATACAGAATTCCTTCAGTTTAATAATTGTTTGGTTTTTTTTTTATACTATAATTTTCTCAATGAAAAATTATAAAGTAATGCATATGGCTATAACTCGGCTCATTATAAGTTCCAAATTGAATAAGAAAAAAATTGAATTTATCAATTGATTCTAAAGTAATGAGAGAAAACAGAGATTTTAGAATTCCAGTAAAAATTCTGATAATTAAGTATCTTTGTTATAGGACCACCTGTGCAAGAAAGAAGCGGGTCTGACAGATGAGCTGGCCTCCATACTGACTGAGCTCACCACACTGAACAATGCAGAGAATGCTAAAGTAGCTCTCAGGGCCAGACAGGTATTACAATGCCTTTATAAACACTGTCATTATTATCATACAAAATATTCATTTTTATATGTGTATCAATCTCACTGCCTACTAGATCTCTGAAAAGCATAGGAGTGGATCAAGGTATTTAAGGTGATGAAATTTTTATGAAATATTTTCCCCCCTTTCACAAAAAGTTTTTTTAAGTGGATATTTTGCAAATAAATACTATGATATCCATAACATATACAATGAACTATAATATGTGTATACTATGTGTAATTGGATTTGGATTAATTTTTCAGGTGTTGATAGCAGCTCACACTCCCCCTTATGAACTCCGACACAACCAGATGGAATCCATCTTTCTGTCGGCCATTGACATGTATGGACCAGAGTTCAATCCAGAAAATCTACAGGTCCGGTAGATCTTTGATATCTTTTCATCTTAACATTTGAAAATCTATACTGAAAGGAAAAAGAAACGCAGGGTAAACTTTTGAGGTGAATAATATTTGTTTTTTCTAAGAATACTTTTTAGTTTTTGAATCTACCTTTTAAAATCATCTTTCAAAAAGATATAACCAGATTCTCATATGATTTTGTCTCTTTATTCATAAGTAATTGAAGCTCATATGACGATACCCCGAAAAGTGAAAATCCAAAACTCTCATTATCTTCAATGTCTATCTCGTGCATTTGTAAGAGTCTTATTTTTGACTTGGCTTGCGTAGCAAGCTAATCCCTGTTGACATAGCCGTTTCAGAGCTGTAAAATTTTTCACGCATTCATCAAGGTGATCCATACGCCAAATATGATAGTTCTAGCAAAAAATGCTCTTGTTTGAGTGATTTTATAAAATTAGGATGTAAAAACTGCATAAGATATCAGACTGTTACATTATTTATGTCTTCATGCTTTTAAAGAGATTTTTGTTTAAATATCTGTAAGATGTACAATTACTGCGTATGAAAATATGTTCAAGCATGTTAGGCGGATCTAATCTTCTCATCTGAAGTTTGTTTATAATTGACCTAGAATACCTCCCAACACAAACACCTGCTGCTCTCATTAATTGCAGCTATATAGTGTGCTTGAAAAATCTATTTTTAGAATCCAGATTTGCTGTGGGAATCTTTAAACTAATTACCCAATAACACTGACCACTGCAGCTAGTGTGCTTAAATAATACATTATGGAATCCAAGATTTGCAGTACTGCTTATCTCAATAATATGTACGGAAGCCCATTAGGGCCAACCTGTACATACAAAGGAAAAGCAATATTGAATACACTTTATTTTTTAACCAAACATGAAGACATATAATATTCAATCTCTTAAGATGCAAAATAAACTGAATATAAGGTATGGTGTCCAGATGTATGAAAAAGCTCAATGAACTCGAGCAAGTCAACTCACAGGCCCTTCAGGCCTTTGATTCCTTTGCATGGAATTTCATCAGAGCGTTTATCTTTCAAATCCTGGCTATATTTAGCATGGGTAACCACGCAAAAAATAAGTATAACGGTGTGCGCATGCGCCAGTGAGAGGAATACAACTGTAAGTTGACTGGCTCAAAAAACCAAATTGCAGAATTGTTTTCTTTCAAATTTCGTATGAATGTAATGATTATAATCATCTACTCTATAAATGGCTGTTTTTGTGTTAGTGAGGTGGTGATTTGAGAGATGGCAGGACGAATAACCCGCTTGTAACATGACTGTTTCGCGTTACCGTCATCGTCACGGTTGATTGAACACCACTCCAGACCCTCTCTGACAACGGCTAAAACGTTTTATGGGGGAAAATTTACAAGAGACTGATTAATAAACCGTTGTTGCCTTTTTCATTAATCAGGCGATTCGCAAACAAGACCCCTTTGAACTTCCGTAAACTGTGCCAAGATTGCAATTAATTCATAATGTCTCTTAATATTGAAAAACGATGTGCATACCTCATATGCATCAAATAATGCAACAAGATTGGTTGACAAACTCGCCGTTATCAAATAGCACGTGTTTTAGGCTTTTTAGCGTTTTCCCTACGTGACGTCATAAATTTTATGGTTGAGTAATTTTGAATACTGATTTTGATGCACAGTAACTAAATTTCCCTTCTGACCAATTTTCGTAATTTTCGGTCACGTGGTAAAATTTTTATCGAAAATTATGCTACCCTGCGTTTCTTTTTCCTTTCAGTATACATGTCTGACAAATTTTTCTCACAATCTATTTATATTTTAACGTTTTATGTCCTTGTCAGTCAATTTTATACTAGGTCTTCTAGTTCAGTATTAAAACTTTCTTGTACATGTCTTTAGAAGAGAAAGGCTTATTTGGACTT